TGAGGTGAAAAAGAAGAATCAATTGTTTGTGTTTGGTGATTTTAATAGGAATACAATGTCCGTGCAAGCCCAGCGACCGATAAGAACTACTTCATTGGTAGATTTGTGACTGGTCTTCCCAATTTCAAGAAAGGTTCTGAGAATAAATGGTCTCTTCGTAAAGATATACCACAAGGTCGTCAGTTTACAGATGCTCAACGGGTAATTGGATCATCCATGTTCTTTGTATATCGATCGTTCTGAGGTTGTATATATGCTTATTAATCGCGTGAAATCGATTGTTTTGTCCTCTAGGAGAAGTTAAAGAACAAACCTTGGATCTTGGAAGATGAAACTGGCCAGTTCCAGTTTCAGGGTCATCTTGAAGGCTCTCAGTCTGCTACTTACTATCTCTTAGTGATGCAGAACAAGGAGTTTTTCGCTATTCCCGCCGGTTCTTGGTATGGAGAAACATTTTTCCAAGATTCTTCGGAATTTATGTTTTCTGTCTCTGAAAGCGCTGTTAAGTTGTTTGTTTTTAATTGTGTTAGGTATAACTTCAACAAGGTTGCGCAGTATAAGCAACTTACATTGGAAGAAGCGGAAGAGAAGATGAAAAATCGTAGGAAAACGGCTGATGGGTATCAAAGATGGATGATGAAAGCCGCAAATAATGGCCCAGCGTTATTCGGAGAAGTAGAAAACGACAAAGAGAGCGGTGGGAGCGGTGGAGGTGGTGGTAGGGGTCGTAAAAAGTCAACAGGCGGTGATGAAGAAGAAGGAAATGTCTCTGACAGAGGGGAGGAAGACGAAGAGGAAGAGGCATCACGGAAAAGTAGACTCGGGCTTAATAAAAAGAGTAATGATGATGATGAAGAAGGTCCAAGGGGTGGTGATCTTGACATGGATGATGATGACATTGAGAAGGGTGAGTAGTAATCTTTGTTGTTATGTATTTAACAGAACATGTGCATTTTTCAAGTAGATTATGATAATGTGTTGATTTATTTAGGCGATGACTGGGAGCATGAAGAGATTTTCACCGATGATGATGAAGCAGTCGGTATTGATCCTGAGGAACGTGAAGATCTTCTGGCGCCTGAAATTCCTGCTCCTCCAGAAATAAAGCAGGTCTGTCTTTTATACTTTACTTATAATGTACAATTCTCTGTGAAAGTGAATATAGTAATTTCTTTGGTTAAATCCGTTTTATACGTTATCCAAGTTTCTACGTTTACTAAGTACTGGATTGTTGACTCTTTTCTTTATATGAGGTCCCAACTTTCTTTTGACTTCCATTGCAG